TGCGGCAGAGCTGGCCAGTAAATCGAAAAGATACACGAAACGAACACTTCACAAAATAAAATAATAAAATCGAAACATAAAACATTCTGATTGTAAGAGCTCGGAAGTAGGTCAGCGTCGGTGCCGCCGTCGTCGCCGTCGCCGTCGCCGTCGCCTTCACCTTCATCGTCGGCGTCATCGCCAACGCGCTCGCTCTCGAACTTGGCTTTGGTCTGGTCTGGTCTCGGCTGCCGCAAGAGCAAGAGCGGCAGCTCAGACACCAAAACCGAGCAGCAAAAACTAAGAAGAATCAAAAATACGCACGCACACACATACAAATACAAATCACACACACACATGGAGCTACGCTGATGGAATACTTAAGCATCCGCGTCCACTTGCACTTTCTTTTTCAAGCGCTGCCGCATCGGCGCTGGCGTCGCAGTTGCTGTCACAAACTTGATTTGCCTTATGCTTTGGCTCATTCTACTTCTGCTTGGCTCCCAGTTCCAGTCCCGCAGCGCAAGTTCGTGGCTTAAGTCTTTCGTTTGGGTCCGGCGCACGTTCGGCTCGCTTAGCTTTCGCTTTGTGCTGCTCCATTGTTTTGCTTTGTCCAAATATTCTCTTATGCTTAATTTCTTTTAGGCCTCAATTTCACCATCTTGTATAACCATTTCAAATTGTGTAAGGAGTCATTATAATTTGTTTGGCAGTTACATATTAAACTAGAAGTAAATGCATGGCAACTAATAGATTTATTCGTTTTCCAAATATTTGAAACCTGTAGAACGCGCATGCGCTCGGATTACACATTACTTTTTGTGCCCAGTTGGACTTCCAGTATTTATTGGATTACCACTGATCGGATTCCTAAACAACCCGAAATACAAATTTTCCATTAAACTTCTTGCGGATATTGAAAATTTCAGCTGTAACTAAAATATCAGATCTAATAGCATAAAAAGAGGGCATACTTTTAAGTAAACATAAGAAGCTGCTGCATACTTTTAGGCATGCCGAACAATTTAGGAGGAGAATTGATATGCATTGCAAAACAGCTCCTAAAATAGTATTTAAAATGTAACTAACTTTGATTGTAAGCAATATTACACGGAAAATGGTAATGAGTTTGGGTTTAAATCAAACATAAGGATTCGAGTATCGAAACCTGTTCGTCTTGGGAGAAAATATAAGATAGTTCTCAACATTCGCGGACTCTGTTCAGGGCGGCAAACCAAATCTGCTTCACCTACTTGCGTTACATGTTCCATTAGGTTCAATCCCAAAATGTTAATCTGTCGTCTGTACCTTTTTTCTTCTTTATATATGTTATATATGTATATTACTTTTCAATGTAAATTGTATAAATAGACAATATTTATTCAATTATAATTAATAAATATAAGTTGTCTGCAAATTGGAATTGTGAATAACCTTTATACAAATTCAATCTAGGAAATGAACCATCCCAAAAAATACCTCTACCGAATCGACAACATTTATATTTTGATATAGTTTTTGAAGTAGAAAATGCAGAAAGAGCATTTACTGATCAGAGCCAATCAAAATAGCTTGGACACATAAAATCAACTAACTGATGGATTGAGGGAATTTCATTTAATCACTTCCGAGCAATTAACATTTATTTTAAGATAAGTTGTATCTATATATACGTGTATATTGTGTAATTTATAAATATCTAGCCACGCAACAAAGAAAACAAACAAGAAAATCGACATAAAAGGACAAATTCAAATGGCATGAGTAAAGTTAAAATAAGCATAAAACAATTAGAAATCCAAATACTTAGACAATCAATAGAAAAAAAAAAAGAAATGTGCTTAAATGCATCTCTCTCAACGCTGTGCCTGATTTTGGTGAATCTCAATTAATTGGCATGCGAAATGCGCGGCACGGCGATTTCGCAACTTCGCGAGTGCAGCGGCGGGTGCGGGCTGCATCGATGCTTCCTCGAGAAGCTCGCGGATATCAACCTTGATGTTGATTTATAGGTGTCGCTGTGCTGTGGCGGCGTCTATTTTGGTGCCTGCCGTTGCGTTGCCGCCTGCCGCTGGCTGCATCGATGTCTGTGCTGCTGCGTGCCTGCGTCCCTGGCTATCTCCCTCTCTCTCTCTCTCTCTCCCTATCCCTCTCACTCTTGCTCTCTCTTCGCTCAGGGTCCACGGCCCGCCAATTGTCTTGCAGCATCTGTCAGTCCTTCTAAGGTTCGTTTCTATTTTCTGAATTGGCAACGAAGTGAAGTATCTTCGGCACTGCAAATGCGGACTAGCTGCTCGGCACCTGCAACGGGAGTGGGAACGGATACGCGTCCAATCGGCTAATCTACTGTGGCGCTCTCCCGGCCACGCATATTTGCTTATCAGTCATTTAGATAGCTCGCATGCTAATTGCCCTGTATTGTGCGTCCCAACTCTCTCTCTCTCTCTCTCTCTCTCTGAATCTCTCTGGATATACCCTACATTTATCTAATCATCGGCCCAAATGTTAAGCTACTCCTTAAGCGAGATATATTTCAGGTAGGCAGTGCATATACACCTGCAATATTTCTGGCTCGTAAATGTATAAGCTCTTCTTAAATTTATTCGCCAAAGCAAGACAAGTGCAGCGCCTAAAAATGTCGCATATGCCCTAACAACAATTTGTGAATTCCTTACGGCAATTAGGAAAACGGCTTATATGGATCGATTCGCGTTAAATGCGTGGCACTACTTTCGCTCTACTCAATTTCTCTGCCTCTCTGCGAATTTCGGCATTTCTGCATGGCTGCCAACTAATTGAGTTCTCAACTCAATTGAAAATTGCCCGATGCGAGAGCCTTCGATATAAAGACAGCACTTGGCCATCCGCGTGCCATTTGTTGTTGAGTCTAGGAGCCAACAAGAATCAAACGTGCGATTTTATTTTCATCAACTCCTTTCGTTGGCCTAAAAGGTGTGTGAGTGTGTAACCGTGTGTGTGAATTTGATTCGCAAACGTACAAAGGATTATTCATGGATTATTTCTGGCTCGCCAAAACTATTTTAATGGAATACGTGATATATAATTGCTTTTAATTTTAGAACATTTTTTTTGTTAAAATCAAAATTGGTTTTTAAAGTAAAATCACTTTTTTATCAGAACTATCAGTCCAAGCAGCTTAAATATTATTAATTTTATCGCTAAAAGAAAATGGCTTAAAAAAAATATAAAAAAAGAAACTCTCTAGATAAATAAGTCTCCCTCAAAGTGCTAGTTGAATTTGCAGTTTAGTAATATATTTGAACACGATGTCCTTTCTATAACGACCTCATCTGTAATTCTAGATAAACAACTGTCAAAATGTGTGACGATGATGCGGGTGCATTGGTTATCGACAACGGATCGGGCATGTGCAAGGCCGGCTTCGCTGGTGATGACGCCCCCCGTGCTGTATTCCCCTCGATTGTGGGTCGTCCACGCCACCAGGGTGTGATGGTGGGTATGGGTCAGAAGGATTCGTACGTAGGTGATGAGGCTCAGAGCAAACGTGGTATCCTGACGTTGAAATATCCGATTGAGCACGGCATTATCACCAACTGGGATGACATGGAAAAGATCTGGCATCATACCTTCTACAATGAGTTGCGTGTGGCCCCCGAGGAGCATCCAGTATTATTGACAGAGGCCCCACTTAACCCCAAGGCCAATCGCGAGAAGATGACTCAGATTATGTTCGAGACCTTCAACTCGCCAGCCATGTACGTTGCCATCCAGGCTGTGCTGTCCCTGTACGCTTCCGGTCGTACCACTGGTATTGTGTTGGACTCCGGTGATGGTGTCTCCCACACTGTGCCCATCTATGAGGGTTTCGCTCTGCCCCATGCCATCCTGCGTCTGGACTTGGCCGGTCGCGACTTGACCGATTATCTGATGAAGATCCTGACTGAGCGTGGCTACTCTTTCACCACCACCGCTGAGCGTGAAATCGTGCGTGACATCAAGGAGAAGTTGTGCTATGTGGCTCTGGACTTTGAGCAGGAAATGGCCACCGCTGCCGCCTCCACATCTCTGGAGAAGTCGTACGAGTTGCCTGATGGTCAGGTCATTACCATTGGCAACGAGCGTTTCCGCTGCCCCGAGGCTCTGTTCCAGCCTTCGTTCTTGGGCATGGAGTCGTCCGGTATTCACGAGACTGTCTACAACTCAATCATGAAGTGCGATGTGGATATTCGTAAGGATCTGTATGCCAACTCTGTGCTATCCGGCGGTACCACCATGTACCCAGGTAAAAATAACGAGTCCCTTAAACTTGGATCGCAGACTCAAGTGCTTGTCGTTTCAATTTTAGGTATTGCTGATCGTATGCAAAAGGAGATCACCGCCCTGGCCCCATCGACCATTAAGATCAAGATCATTGCGCCACCTGAGAGAAAGTACTCCGTCTGGATTGGTGGCTCCATCTTGGCATCGCTGTCCACCTTCCAGCAGATGTGGATCTCCAAGCAGGAGTACGATGAGTCCGGTCCCGGCATTGTTCACCGCAAGTGCTTTTAAATCTTTCCCGCGTTGCGAAAGATCAACAAAGACAAACACCACGTTAGCAAAGTCACAAACCAGCACCAACATCAGCGAGCTTTTCACCAACGCCGGCGCGCTGCACATTAAGCCAAACCAGCAAAGAAGAAGAGGATAACAACAACAATCTGTTGCATGAAAATCATTTTAGCCACAATATCAATAAGAGGCTGAACGATATTTAAGCCACGCCCCTTAAAATGTTACCAAACCCAGACACAGGCGAATTTCACAGTCAAGAACTTCTGCGTGAAACTCGCCGAAGTGTGAAATATTTAAATATTTTATAAACTTATCTAAACTGTATATGAAAGAGCTTTTAATCTTAGCCAGTGAAATAAAAGCCAAATATATATCTTCCATTAAAAAATATAAACATTTTCAATAAAGACATTTTTTCTATTACGTATTCGCTTTACTGTTAATAAGATGAATATCATTTTCGGTTTTACATCAGTTTTTATTTATTCATATGTTAAATTATTGTGTAGAAATGCTTATCATAATTAATTAATATATATATTTATTTATATATAATACCAAAATACGTTAACATTTAATTAGGGCAGCGAGGACTGAAGGATAAAATTATTTAAATGGCTGTACGTATAATATTTAGAGACTTCTCACTTCGAGAACACAACTTTGGTGTTTTAGGCCTTTAATTGTACCCAAAATGAATTGATTGGCAGTGTTTTTTTTTTTTTTTTAATAGGTAAATTATCATTTATATTCTCTGTTTCAGCAGTGTTAGTTGGAGAGTTTTTTTTTTTTGGATTGGATGTAGAATATATGTTTAAATATGAGTATTCTTGTTTTAGCTATCGTACATATACAAGTAAGTAGTATTTAAATATATAGAACCACGTATATAGAATTAATTACTTAACTACAGTTAATTTTAGATATACAAATATTGTATAAGCCGGCATTGCACTTTGTTTAGTAAACTTAAGTGGTTAACTTTATTTAATTATATTTGAATACCGAAATAATTTCCTAAATTTCTAAATATATATTTTTTTGGGTTTTTTAGTTTTGTAACTTTTAAGATATACGTTTATATATTATGCTTAATCTTGAGTGCCTAACAAAATGTTTTAATTAATATTGTATGTGCTTAGATTTTATAAAAATATCATGCTGCTAGCCTGTTAATTTGATTAACAAGCTCCTTAACTTAAACTACGCTCCAGAACAGTTACCATACTTTTCCAATATAATTAGTTGACTAATTATATTGAATATGTAACGTAGCTGTTCCAGACTAGCAAAATTGCTCAACTTTGTAGCCTAGTTTTAGCTATATACAGATCCTAAAAATCTATGAATGGCGGTGAAATATGCTTGTAATTTCGTTTTTGGACAAAAAATTCATTTATGCTGGTTTTGCTGGCAGTTTTCTGGTCCTCCAATTGGACAACTAAATATTTGTGGACCATTTTGGTCCGCTTCAATAAACATTTCGATAACGAGCATTGCACATTTGGTACAATAAGGTTTGAAAAATACCCGGCTGAGATTCGAAAATACTTTGCTATTTTTTTACCCTAAAAGGCGTTAGTAATTTACCTAGCTAACTATACATTGCCTGTATGAATGTGTGTGTATGTGGGTGTGGGTGTGTAAGCGTGCATGTAAATCGTTTTAATACTATTCAATTTCTATGATCTGTGCGGTTGACTCGTGTGCACAACGAGACGCACAAATCGGAAGATCTCATGGAGCTGGCTGCGAAACAAACTGTTTAAATGCACAGGAGCCGAGCTACGATGAAATCGCTGCGCAAAAAATAGCACCAAGGATTTATCAGGCCCAATCGGCATGGGCAGCAGTCGGCGGGCTGCATCATCACACAACCTCCACATAGAGTCCGGACGAGGGCGATATGTGACACCGGCCGCAAAACCCACCGCAAAACGCACGTCGCGACGTCGCCGATGTGTCAAACTGTAGTAAAAAGTTTAAAAAAGTATAGACAGAGATTAGACTGCTCCAGGACCTTCATCGAGAATCGTAACATACCCCGCTTGCGCGCTGCATGACCGATCGACTGCCGTAGGTATTCCAAACGGTGCCCGGCCGCATTGCAAAGCCCGTGCGCTCCAGACTGATGGAGAAGTCGCCCTGCGGGCAGTTCATGTTGCGATTGTAGCAATCACCCGCAGATCCAAGCGCCTGTCGCTGTCCTCGTGACTCAGCAAACTCGAAATCGTTCTCGATAATCCGCATGTCACTAATATTAAGCCGCAGTTTGCTGAAGTGCGTGCGTCCGGAGTTCTGGTCGTTGGCGTACTCATGGTCACGTGACGTTGGCGGACAACTGTCGATTAGTCGCGTCTTGTACTCGTAGTAGATGGAGTAGTTCTCCTGCGGCTCCACAGTGATGTACTCTCGCGGCGTCCGGCTGTTCATTTGGTGGCAATAGATGCGCACCTGCCGCGAGTGCACCTGCAGCGTGTACTCGCCATCCTTGTAGACGCGATACATGTTCTGCAGATCGGCACAGGTCTGTGGCCCCCACACCTGGACACTGTTCGTAATGCTTTTGCTGTTGACACTCCGTCGCCTGCAACTGGGCGGCGGGGTGCACTTGTGCTTCTCCACTTTCGGCCTGCCGGCGACCTGTCGCCCCTGTGAGTCATAGTAGTAGATGCGCCGTCGCTCGTAACCCGTGCAGTCGCACTGAAAAAATCAAATAAAAACTTTGGCAATAAAAAAATACTTTGAAATCGCCCGGGTTGGGTTAACTTACGGGACTCAACACCTTAAACCGCCGTTGCACACAGTTTTCACATATTTTTCGCTGGATCGGCCGCTTTTTCGAATCGCAATACCGTTCGCTCACGCTGTTACCCTGCCACGCCTCGCAGCGCACGTAACGTGTCTGATACTCTTCCGTACAGTCGCTGGAGCAGCGCGTCCACTTAGAGAAGACCCACTTGCAGTTGATCTTGCACACCTTAGTGGACTTGCGCAGCATTGGCTTCCGCACCTTCAGCCTCTTGCAGTAGGAGTCATCAATGTATACTCGCTTCTTGGGCGCACCCCGCACCTCTGGCTTATAGACGCGGGCGCAACGCTGTACCTTGTTCTTTGTGCCAATGCCACATTCTACCGAGCACTGCAAATGATGGAGACAACATGTTAGGACTGCCTCCGCGACTGGGACACTTCTCGCCACTTACCTGTTCCCATTCGCTGGTGTATTTAATGTGACAGCAATTGCGAACCGCCTTAGGCATCTTCTCCTCCGGACAGTGACCGCCATAAGCATGGGAACAGGTCACAGTGCGATTCATCTTGCACCAATCGCTGCACTGACCCCACTCACCCGTCACCCAGGAGCTCACAGAGCGTTGGTTTATCTGCGGAATAAAATGTATAAAATATATGCTTAGTTTTCACCTTGCATCTTCCCAACTCACCGTCACTTCAGGATAATAGCGGCAGGGCTCCATGTTGCAGGTGCGCAGCAGATCGTTCAGTTCGTATTTGGTTCGTGGATTACAGAGTTCATTGCTGACGGGCGTGTGGTTCAGATAGCAGCGCACTTCGCGCACTTGGGTGCCCGTGCCACAGGTTTGTGTGCACTACAAAAAACCGGATATATGTATTTATTGCGTTTGGCGTTTGAATGATCCATGCTCACTTACCGTGGACCAGTCCGTGTAATTCCAGCAACCCTCGCGGCATTGCTCGTGGCGTACAATCTCAAACTTCAGTTGACAATAGGACATATCAACGATATTCGGACGCTGAATATCAGGGAATGTCTGTATACAATTGAAGGTCTTCTCCCGGGTGCCCAGCTCTCCACAAGCAGCGGAGCACTCCGAAATGCTCGTCGTGTTCAATCTGCGAGAAAAGCGAATGAGTGTATTAGCGTATCTATCAGAATCGAAGCAATTTTAAATTGCAACCCACGTTAGGATGCAGTCCGTGTTGCAGCTGCGATACTCTGGTTTTGGCATAGCCGACTCGTCACAGTACTGGGCCGCCACCTTAAGGCCCTGCGTTGTGCTAATGCAGGTCGCCTGGCGATGCATTGTGCCCTGACAGAGTGAGTCGCAACTGCTCCAAGCTTGCATTTGCCAGCGATAGATCTCCACCTCCGCTTCCGCAATGATTGGCTTGTCCAGGGTGTACGTATACGATATCAGTATGGTATTCTGATTCTTGGCAGCACTCAGGTCTATCGAGATGATCTGCAAGTTGGCATAGAAGATGTAATTAGGGGCTACAAATCAATTGTGTTTGCGTGTACCTCAACAATTAGATCACGCGTCAGCTTCCATGAGTAGGTGGTGTTTACGCGTTCTATGGTGCTATTGGAGCCATTGTAATCCAGCGTTACGCCCCCATAGGAATACGTTTTGGCATAAGGCGTGACCACCTTGTCCCTATTCAGGAAAGCAACGTGCTTGTCATCGCTTACAACAATATAGTTCTGATCAGGGTAACCAGGCTGTGTGATAACGATGTTGGAGGCACCTGCGTGGTTAATAAGTTAAATAATAATAAACAATTTGTTGAATTCAATTCAATTATCAATCTATTGTATATCATTTTGTATCGTATGGCTCATTTTAAGTTTAGTGGCAAGGGCGACATTTACAGATCTGGAAATTAGTTCAAACCTCAACCAGATTTTCGTGCGTGTTTGCTATCGGCTAATGTTGAAGCACGCCATAAATGTTATACAAATATACATTTCCTTTTGAGTAAAAGGTACAAATGTAATTAAAATATTGCGAAGATGTTGGTAAGCCAGAAAAAAAGGGGGAAAGTATTTAATGCGTATATATCGTGAACTGAAAGTTCGAGAAATAATATCAGAAATGACATCTGGCAACCCTGTCGGCCATTTGCAAAGTAGAATGGAAGAGTGTGTGAAAACTAGAAAATAAATGTGAAATAAAATAAAGTATACCGAAATATACAAGTGCTAATGAAATATAATCTGTGACACTTAAGTTAACGCCCCGATGAAAAGGGTGTATATAAAAAACACATATCGCATTCAATATGAAAAATGCTTTAGTTCGCAGCACTTGCTATGTATCCGTTCGGGATGAAAAACTTTCTAAGCGGAAGTCGCATATAAAGCTAATATTTGGTTGAATTATTTCATTCATGTTTGCTATTGTACTCATGCATAGTGCATTAAATGTATTTTTAACGAATGTTTCACGTGCTAAAAATAACAATTATTGCAATTATTGCCGTGCAGTGCAACGTGCGCGCATGTGTGTGTGTGTGCGTGAGTATATAAAAATTTTCTATATGCGCAATGTTCGTTGATAAGAGTTGCAAAATTCGAGCCGATTTGCTGGCGACCTCCAGTGTGACCCGGCGCCATTGCCCCGTCTGTTGATTAATCGACCGGCAATCAGTGAGTACGTGAGGCGCCTAGGTGCATTGAGATTTGCCTTTGGCCGAGCGACAGCTGATCAGCAGAGCACCTTAAGTCAGTTGGGAGCAGCGAGCACCGCAACACGCGATTCACGTGTTCCAATGAACAAGGTGAGCACCAAAAACATGCAACCACTACACATGTATGAATATGTTAATGTATTTTTCTTTTGGTAAAGGGTGGGGCATTATGACTCAATTGGGCATCGAAGCCGAAGCCATAAAAACTGTTTAATAGCACATTAAGTCGCGCAATGCATAAACATTTACCATTAGCATTCATTCATCAAATCATTAGCCAAAATTTAATTATAGAATTTTTTTTTTAATTTTTTTTTTTTTTGACTCGTTGGCAACCGGCTTCATTGCGTGCAATGTTGGTTGGGGAGGGGAAGGGATAGTTCGTTTTTTTTTTATTGTATTCACCTTTTGGGATTGTCGTGACATAGTATAGGCTTAGGGGGGGCTTCTTTTGCTTCAGCAAATCGGAGACATACACGTTTCCGGTGAATTCCTCGCACGTATCGTTGCGACCCTCGCAAACACCGCATTTATCTGCAATGAAATAAGGAATACCAAAAAATAAATAAAATACAATTGTTTCCATGACTAAAAATGTTGGTATGTGAACGTCTAATTACCGAGCTTGGCAATGGAGTTGAGCTCGTTGTCGCAACCAGCCGGGCGGCAGATGCCATTGACGCACTTGTCAAAGCTGTCCACGGTGCAGGTGGTGCCATCCTTGACCATTTCCTGCAGCAGGAAATAGGCGCTATCATCCTCCAAGCGGCAATATAACTTGCACTTGTCCGTTATGTGTGTGTTCACTGTGGTTTTTTGTATTTTGAGATTGGTCAGTTGAAGCACTTGCCTGGTATTTAGATGTACTCACGTCCATATTTGGGTATCCATTTTGAGTCCGGCTTGATGCCCGGTATCTTAAAGTTCTTGCCGTTCATATCGTAGCACTGCTGCTCGCGTGGATCCACGGTGCCGGGAGGGCAGGGGTGTGTGTTGCAGGAGCGATATTTCTTTCGGCTGCCTAAACAGTATTTCCCACCGTTTTCGGGCAATGGTTGGTTGCACTCGCGTCGCGATTCTTGCACACCGCCGCCGCATGTGAGGCTGCAGGGCGTGAATGCGCTCCAGGGTCCCCAACCGCCGTGGACCATTTGGAGGGAGCTACCCAGGCGTGGCACGCAAATACCTTTCTGACACCAAAATCGGTTGTTATTACAGGGCGTGCCATCCGCCCAGGGTAAATTGCTGGAACGGCAGAGGTCATTGACATGCGTGTTGGCGTTACAGAAAAGCCTCCGGCAATCTGTCTCAAAGGAGCAGTGGGTACTCTGGTTGCCATGTATCAGCTGGCATTGGTGGTCCAGCGAGTAAATCTCACCGGGCTGCTTCGTGTTCAGGTTGGGTATGTATGAGGATGGCGTGTTCTCCAGGCAGGATTTGTCAGTTTTCCTAAAAACGTAGCCAAGTAGAAGCAATAGTCTTAGGTATAATGGTTGCTTAGGGACTCACTCGAGGAACTCGGAGACATAATGCTGTGAGCATTTCGACCATGACCATGGATGCATATGGTCGCCCATGACGCTGGACATAATGTGTAGTGTTCGATTGTTGCCAGATTTGGCATTGTGTCGCTTGCAACGATCATCATCATCGTGCGGCATGTTCAAGCTAAAAGATGTGGATGAGAACAATGCATATGCCAAGGGACTTAAACGACTTACATGTGACCCAGTTCGTGCGCAATTGTAAAGGCGGCGGGCAGCCCATTGTCCTGCACAATGGAGCAGGAGCGAGCCTTACAAACGGTACCTAATTCGGCCAAGCCTAGAGTACTGCAGCGTTCTTCGCGTTCATTGCTGCAAATCTGATCGCTGTGGGAGAGTTAAGGATTAGTTTGCAGCGCCAGACCACGCTTTAAGCGTCCACCTACCGTGTGATTAGCATGGCCGTGTCATAATGATAACCTCCTTTGGCTAGGTACGAACAGAATTGCTTGAGTTTCTCGTTGGAGCCCCTTTTACTGTTGTCGGTGGGATCCCGGTCGCGCATCATCAATAGATTCAGCAACGAAATGCGTATGGAGTTGCCGATGCTGGCATCCGCAAATATATTTGATACAATCGACAAAAGTGTGAGAATGTAGGCGCTGAGATCCTCCTTATGGAACTCCACCATGCTGGCATCGACGGCAATGAGCACCTCAAGCGTGTATACCTGGTTGCCAAGATTCAGAAAGTGACGCTTGCGCCGCGTCAAACGTGGTCGCATGCTCTCCGCCAGATCGAGCGCCTCAAGCTCCAGATCCAAATCGGAGACAGCATGTCTAGGATTGCGCTGCGAATGCCGCCAGACACGATGCAAAATCTGGTCGCCGTCCGTCTGGTTGACCGGCTGAATGAGCATCGTGCCGAAACGGGTTTTTATATAACCAGTCTATGGAATAGGGGCAGGGCAGGAGTTGGATACAAGTTAATTAGTAGTCATATTCGGCGATATATTGATAAGCATAATTTGCGAAATGTTAATTTAATGCAAATGGCTTTCTGAAGGTCTCAGCCTCAGCTGATCTCAACCTGCCACCTGTCGACGTTAATGTTCATGTTTGTGTTGTTGTTGTTGTTATTGTTGTTGTTGTTTATGAACCTACCATGCCGCTGCAGAGAGAGACGGCGACCGCTGATAGGTTGTCGCCTTCAACGTAACCTTTATAGTAGCAGCCCAAAAAGTGGCCCTCGCTCTCATGAACCGACTCCTCGGTCCGGTTTTTGAGTATGCGTATGACCCGAAACGTGTTAGATGGTATGAAGGAGGTATCCTGATGCAGCACAAGATGCAGCTCTTGGCCAAATATCTGCAGTACGTACTCCGGATGTGGATCCCAAATCTGGCTAGACTTGGTGCGGAATGTGCCAGTCATGCTGAAGGCGGAGGTCGCATCTGCGGGAACACATTGCATTTTATTACTATTGGGTGTTCAGCTCTCCTGCCGGCTACCCACTTACCCCTTTGGCTGCTGTTGTTGTTGCTGTTGCTGTCGCTGTGTCGCTTCGATTCGTATAGCAAATCCTCGGCATTGAGACTAAAGTTGTGTATCTTGGTTGGCGTAACAAAGGCACTCATATTGTCATCGCCAATGTCCTGGATGCTGCCAAATTCGTTGTCGCTTTCAATATCGCTTTCATCGCTCCAGTTGACAGTAATCGTATCGTTAAAAAACTGTTTGGGCTCTTGTATCTCATATAATCTGGTGGTGCTGCTGTCGCTGGGCGCACCGCAAATGAGGAATATAACCACTCCGAACAGGCCCAGCGCGGCCACGCTGATCCATATGCCGGCGTGCTGCCGCCAGTGTGTAGACATGTTGCGGATATATTTATGCTTGTAGAACCACCACTCGCAAGTCTTCTTCAGCACGAGCTGCAAGAACCGCACAGACAGACGTTAAAAAGAAAGTCATTGTCAAAGTATAGCTATGGGCAGAGCAAGAGTAGATGTTATAGTATCATTCTTTGAGCTGTGTTCACGATAGGGCAGAAAGTCAGAAAGCAGAAAGCGCCACATTACTTTGTGGCATTCTCTCACACCTTCAATGCCGATTGCACAGCTTGGGGCATAGCCGCCGGCAAAGCCAGCCAGATTAGCACTTCGTCGTGGGCACGTTCCACTGACCCAGCTGCCGCAAATAAGTAAACATTATCATTGAGACGGGTCAACCAAAGAGAGAGGGGGTCAGACTGATTTGAGTGATTAACTCTTTGAAAGAATTATTGAATCGATCAACTGACGGCGTCAGCTACCTTGGCCACCTGTAAAAGACCACTCAGCCAAATGAACGGCCCAAGCGACGTGTTTGGCCTTTGGCTGGCACGCATACCGGCAGCTATTTGCAGATCTTTAGAGCAGATCTATAGAGCTGTTGAAAACACTTCCTCACACCGCAACAATTTCGCACATTTTGGGATTTTTTTTATTTTTTGTTTAAACCGAAATGCTTCAGCGCAGAGGTGTAAAGTGTGCCAAAGGCATTTTTTGTTTGCTTGCCAGCAAAAAAATAAAAGAAAAGAAATTACCAAAAGAGAAACAGAAACAAAAAGATGAAATAGTTAAGTACCCCCGCGAGCAAACAGTTTATATGCCTTTAATTTGTTAATTTATGTGAGAGGCTTTTGTTTGCACCTCGCTGCTCGAAAATTTGAAATTTGTGCATCTAGCGTATCGTGATCAATGTGGTTTCTAAATTGTCGTGTCGAAAATTAAATTGAAATTCAGCCAAATATATGTATTCACGAAATTAGTTGCCAAATGAATTTGACTAAATAATGTCGCATTTTACATAATTTGACGGCAGCTCTGTGAACTCTCGTGACCGGCCAGACATTTGTTATGCCAACGAATTGTTGTTTGTCATTTGATTATTTGTTAAATCTCCGACATCCAAAGCTGGATGGCTAAGGCATAGCCAATTCCTCAGATTTCCGCCACAATTTGCAATTTAACATGGATTTAAATCGATATGAAAGCCTTCAACCTGATGCCACTCAATTTTCGTATTGCTATTGACCTTTTCTGTTCGTTATTTTTGAAAATATCTCAAAATGATGGGCCATTAAATTGGCATATTATTTAGATTACCGATCGCACATTTATTAAATCCGAATGAAACATAAAAGCAGAGCGGCAGATATATGTATCAGTCTTTTCATTTTAAGATACACTTTTTTTAACACTTCTTTCGACGATTTCTTATCTGTGGCACAGCAAATTAACAGTAGTCTACTTTTCAGGGTCAGTTTATGACAGGTTTTAAAAGTTTTATGGTAGTTTTTCTTTTTAGTCTAAAACATTTACTTAAACTTGCATTTGATATTCCAAAATAAAATATACATACAAATGAATGAAAACTATTTGCTTTACATATTTACGAATATTTCAAAAATATTTTCCAAAATTTTACCTGCGACGAAATTTTTATATATTTCTTAACATTATATTATTAAATTAAAAATATATTTTCCACTTTCAATCTGTTAATTCTTCCGATCTGTTATTAGACTGGAAGCAGATTAACTCACGGGAGCTGCGGACGTTCTGCAACTGCATCGCATACAATTTTTGCATCGCTGTTTAAAATTAAATATTGTATACCATATACATATATATATATGTGTATATATATATTTATATTTCTTAAATCAATATTCCTTGAACAAATGTTTATAATGCCAGGCACATTAATCAAAGTCTCTATCTGTATACAGTTAACAAACATTCAGGGTTATCAGTGTCAGTGTCTGGGCCTTGTCCAGCCCGGCAAGCTTTCTCAGAATTGTTTTTCGTTAAAGAATTTTTATTGAAAACCCGCCAGGTTGATACACACTATTGCTCCGTATCTCGGTATATCTTTTAGTGTGAAGCTTATCATAAATTTCATCCAACGCTTTAAATGGCCGCATGCGATTTGCAATGCAAATCTTTGGCTCTTTATGTATTTAATTAAAGAGCCATTCGGTTGATCTCTGTTTACCTCTGTGCTGTTGTTTATGCATGCGTTTGGGAAGCTGCTTATTAACTTGTTTCCAAAACAGGCCTCAAAAATATGTAAATGCAATGCGTGCGTTCGGCTTTTATCAGCGCCGTCTGATAGCCATGGCTATATGCCGGTCCCATTTTCATATCCCCTTAATGCGTGTCTAATTCACTTAATTTATGATTAAGTCAAAGTGGTTCCTGGCCTCTGACTAATTGACCATATCGATGAGGCAGCAGTAACAAAAAAAAAAAAAATATAAGAAGAAAACTGAGAAAGCGAATAAAACCCAAAAGAACACTAAACAAACATGTGAAGCAACATGAAAACCAGTTTACACTTGGCCAGCGCTGGAAATGGGCAAGAAACTAGCGATTTGTGTGCCAGTCGATTACTTTATATTGCCGAGTGCTATAATTTATGCCAATGGCTACATTTTTTTGGCCGACACTCTGTCTGCGCAGCATCGCGGCGACGACGCCGCTCAGTCTGTCCCCTCGAGCAGCTCGAAGGTCGTTACCGATGCCGTCGCAGCCTCGCCAACACTCGAGAGCGGGCGGTCCCACGGAATTTACAATATTTTTTTAAGCCACATATTTTAACTCTGGCTAATTGGTCGAGGTGTTCGTACGAGTGACAAGCAATTGAAACACGCGTCTGCGTTTGCGTCGCTCGAACAATGCGGCGTATGCGCAATATTGCGCTTAATTACACGGCTCGTATGGAGCCGCAATTATTGTGTTCAATTTGTATTTAATGACTTAATTGCAAACGCTGCCCTGCAACACTTATGGCTGGCTAGCTTCAGGTCCAAAAATCCGCAACGACAACGCGTCGCATACGCAACGCGACAATGGCACATAATTTCTGGGTCCGCATGCGCAGCACAAACACAATAACACAACCGCAAGCAACAAATTAACAAATTAGCAAATTAGCTGCTACAATTTGAGTATTCACATATTAATTACCAGATAAATCAAACTGTTTACATACATATTCGGGTTGGTCTGGCCGATTTTGGTGCGGCGGTTTAAGATTTCAGCGCATTCTGCTGGCCATTAGCTCACGCTTAATTATAGCCATGCACTTTTCTAAGACCTTACATGCAACATGCAATTGCTGGCCCGTGTTTTCTAACATTGTTTTTTTTGGTTTTTTTTTTTGGTTTTTGAAAAATTTTCCAAATACAGACACTACAAATCCGGCCGGATTGTGTTTATAGCGGCAGCATTTGAGTGATAAATAAATAAACTTGTTGAATTTATGGGCGTGCGCTTTTTGGGTGCCTTTATGCACTCGACGCGTGACCGTCGGCAACAATTTCGAAAACTCGATTAAATGCGCCCAAATCAAGGCAATTGTCTTAAATACAAACGCTCAGACGGCTGCCCAAACAAACATTTCCAAACCAAATATCAAATCACCGTTTAATTAGAAAAGTATGTGTAAATATTTTCAATTTGCATTTGGGCGTTTCCTGAGAATTGTTTTGCCAATTTACAACAACAGACAAACAAATGCACAGCTCGAAGGCCGTGGGAAGCAAAACAAAAACGCGGCTAAACATCCCCGAAATAAGTAATGAAAACATGAACACATAAAACGGTTACCTGGAAAACCTGTGAGCCACGAGCCAAATGCCGAGAATCTGTCATCATTGCCTGTGAGTTACCGCACAAACAATAAGTCCAAATGAAAAATGACTGCATTGATTCGTTTATGTAGCTGATATAAGTACTATAGATGCATTTGGCATTATGTATCTAAATTGAAATCAGCATTGAGCTAAAAAAAAGTGCATTATTGATAACTTCACAGTTCGCAATTCAAAAACTGTTTGAATTCACAATTGAAACGCATCAGACGCAAATACAAATCAATTAACCTTGACAAAAATGCTTTTGGCAAAAACTTAATTGAAAATAGGCAACGAAATGCATTTAAAAAATTTAATTTTATGCCATTTGGCTCAACTAGCTGGCCAGCAGCAGTCGACTGGCTGGCTGCCTCAGCCAACTGGCCGGGGTTGGATAACGGCCGCGTCTGCCATGTGCTTGGCATATCATCAGGCTCGTCATCATTATAGACATGTCGGTGTCTATCCCAGGGGCTGGGGCAGGCAGCGGCGGCAGGGGCAGCATAGGCAGCAGCATGGTTGCCTCAGCATCAGCCTCAGTCTCAGTCGATGGCACGCATATGGCGCAGCCGGAGGTAGACCCCCAAAAGTAATTTCGCCGAGTTAATTATTGCGTATTTAACCTTGAAATTAACGTGTATGTTTCGATCGTTTTAAAACTATAAAATAATCAACTTTGTTTAGCTTTCATTTCATACAATTCGCAAAAAATAAACTAAATAGAAATATTAAAAAAAAATATCAAATCTGGATAACAACTGGGAGATTCCCTGTACCTAGAACCATTCGAGTATTCGAATTTTCTTCCATACAGTGCTTCTTCCCCTGTTTAAATGCTTCTCTTTCGCTTCTTCTTCTTTTTTACCTATCAACATTGGAGAAACGGAGAAAGCTAATGATAAATCAAAATAAACTTGAACTGGGCGTACAATAGGTAAGCTTATGTTCCAAACTTGAAGTAACTAACTTTTATAGACTCTGAGCTCAACTAAAACATATATGCACTTTTTGGGTTTAGAGATGCCATCTGTTTTTTGCGTACCGAACCGAAATACCCCCATTTAGCCATTCCTAACGGGGTGCAGGGTATACAATAATACTAGCTCGCCCGACAAATGTTTCGCTTTGATATTTGAATTTGCATAATAATACAAATCAAAATATTATTACCGATGGCGTGCTGTGTGCCGCATGACTCATGCTTAGGATTTTTGATTCTCAATCCCGAATCCGTTTGACGATAAGTGATTT